AATAAAGTGTCGCGAAAATTAAGTGATCTACAGTATGAGGAAATTATTTTGCAGGTGGCACATCATACTCATCTATGTACAACTTACTAAATTATCCAGCTGGTGTTGTTCCTGTTACCAAGGTGACAGAACAGGATGTTAAGGATATGGCTAATTACCCTCAGAAAACAATGTTTGAGAAAAACATTAAAAAGGTAAGTAGTTCTCTTTTGGTACTTGACAGTCTTTGAACAACTACTGCAACATAAGGACACAGTTTATAAGTCTCATCTGAAGGACAGGTCTCTATTTCACATACTAGATTTGAACTCACAAGTTAAGGATTAACTCCTTACTCTGTTACTCTAGAGCAAAGGCTCCAACCACTGCACCATGCGGACCACCACCATTTCTTATAGAAAAATATATATGAAGTACTGTCCACACCTCAGCACAATTTTCCTGTAATATTCATAAATGTAACAATACATGTATATGATCACCATTGAAGATGTCTGTATTTATTCGTAGTGGAGTACTCTATTAAGTCTTCACATACTGCTGCATTTTTTTCTGTACCAGATGATACTGTGATACTGGGGTGGGAGGGGGGGGTTGGGGTTGGGGGGTTACTGTGGGCCTGTCTTGTGGGGTGCACAGTGTGTGGCTCTACCTTACTGTTCTTTATTAAGTCTACACTAACAGTACTTTTTTCTGTACTAGATGATGCTGGGGGGTACAGTGGGCCTGTCCTGTGGGGTGCAGTGTGTGGCTCTACCTTACAGAGAGGAAATGGTTCTACGGCTGATGAAAGAAATCGAGGAGGGACTCAAGGGAGAAAACTGAGGATTAGTGTGATTTTAATAAATTATTTATTAGTGTTAACAGTGGTGGATAAAATGAGAAGATATAAGGCAAAGCAAATCAGAAATTTATGTAGAGGAAAGTTTTGATAATGAAAATATATATATTTTTTTAATATTAATCTAGTACATTCCTTTAGCTTAAAGATAAATGTTGATTTAGATAAGAAAATGCTATCCTTTTTTAATAGTTTGATCACTGTCTCATATCTCGATAGATAGTGCATGTATAATTCCAGTCATTTAATTGTGATACTTTTTTTTTTTTATTTAATAGAAACTGTTATTTTCCCCTGTAAATGAAGATGTGGGGGTATTATTAGTTACATAGTCTTTTAGTGACAGGGTATGGGATGATACCTGGTTAGTAAATTTCATACCTGGCGAGGCGGAGCCGAGTCAGGTATGAAATTTAGTAACCAGGTATAATCCCATACCCTGTCACTAAAAGACTATGTAACGAATTTACCCCACCGATATCGATGAAACATTTATGTTTTATCAGTGGTTTATAAATGATTTTCTCTGCTAAATGCTTCATCATGCTTATACTGTGCTAATTATGACGTCACGTTATGTTTGTTACGTAATACATCGACCGGGTATAGATTTACAACTGACCGGGATAAGTAATCCACCTCCTTCACGTGACAGACTTTAACCAATCGTAAGACAAGATTTCACGAAAAAATCAACAGAGGTGGGGTAAATAGCTTTTGCCCTGTCTGTTTGTCCTCAAGAACTTTAATCTTACCCATAAATTTTGATTGGTTGGGGCTACAGAGTAAAACATTCATACTCCATATGTGTATTCCTTGTGATAAGACCTTTCTTTGGGTACCAATATATTGGACATCATGCCCTTGACCTTGAGATTTGACCCACTTTTGCAAAGAAAATGCCTACCTCTATCCTTGGCCGTGACTTTTGAACAGTTAGTGCTTGGGATTTCATACTTCCCATGTGTATTTAGTGTGACAAGACCTTGTCTTTGGTACAAAGATTTTTGACTCATTTACCTTGACCCAAGAGTTTGGCCCACTTTGAAAAACATTTACCATGGCCATAACTTTTGAACATTTGGCTTTCATGTTTCAAATGTATATTTCTTGTACATGTTACAAGAACTTGGATACCATTAGATTTTACCCATTGACTTTGACCTTGGAATTTAACCAACTTAAACAAAAAATCCATGGCTCTAATTTTTGAACCTTTGGTGCTTTGGTTTCATATTTCACAGGTATTTAGACAAATTCTTTCTTTCTTTTACAAAATATTCTTGATCTTTTGGCCTTGACCTTTGAGTTCAACTTAAGAAACTTTTACTTTCACTAGAAGCTGCAATACAAGGGGCATCAGTGTTTCACAAACACATCTTGTTTTCTGTTGGCAACTTTTGAAATGTTAATTGAATAATCTATTATGATTTAGGCATTAATTGGTATTTATAATTCGATCATGATTTTTTTTAAAATTTGTTCATTCATGCATGAATGTTCATGATTTTTGTTCATAAATTCATAAATGATTTTGAAATCATATCATTTGACAAATTTTATTTTATTAGGATTATTTTTATTGTGCCATAATTAGTTATTGTGAATAGCTACTGCATTTATGCTTATCAATTTATATTCTGCAAGCTGTCAATATTTAAAAAAAAAAATTATAAATCCCCTTATAACATGTATAACAAATATGCAGCTAGCTGTGATTTGGCTTTATAATACATGTATCTGAAGGTGTTGAAGGTAACGGAGCAAACTAATACAACATTTAACAAACAAATATTAAGCCGTTTATATTTTTAAAAAAAAAAAACATCATCACAATGTCAAGGGTTTGTGATTTCAGAATTCCACTCAAATGTAAAACACACACACACAGCATGCACAAACTGAAAGGAAACAATGATATATATAAAACTGACAAAGGATGATGTTAAATGGCATTTCATATGCTATTTACATGTATATATATGTATGTCAAAAATCATTGATTACATATGAGTAATTTTTTTTAATTGCTGACTCATTCAAATACATGCATGATGCGTACTTACATGTATTCATTCCTTTACAAAAAGTTATTTAGTAATATGGGAAATATCCTAGGTGTAAAACATAATTTCAGTACTTGGAGGCTTCTTGAAATGTTAAATGTTTTACATTTCTTTGTTCAGTTTTCTTCATATAATTTTTTTTATTATTATTATCAAGTCACTACATTTATATATCCAATCATTGATGCATATATCCTTCTGCAAGTCCCTTGCTGACTAGTCAGTTTTCTAGTTTTATTTGATCAAGGACATTAATTAATTATTGACTTCTTAGATTTATTTTTTTTCCCTTTTGACAAGTGTGTATTGAATATAGATGTTTGACAACATTTTACCTCTAAAATAGTAAATTTACTCATGAACTGTATATTTATGACTTTTACAGTGTAATTTGAAATTGACTTGCTAAATGGTTACATGCTTAAAATGTTGATGAACAGGTTGAATAATTATTCTCTATTTCTTTAATAATCTTGTTATGTTTGGATTTTTCACTAATGAATGTTTTCAGTTTGAAATATGAGGATATATTTTCTTGTTCAATTAATATTGTGTGTTGTTTTTGTAAGTTTTAACTAATATCTTTTTATTAATACATGCTATGTAATTTCTGTTTCGGGGGAAATAGTATTTTTTTTCACATTTTAATTATTTATTTCATATATAAATAATTTTGATTTTATGGTAGATGGAAGCGATTGTTTAAAAGGTATGAATTTGTGTTTTTGTGTTTATATATAGGGCCTTCACTATATATTATTGAAATAAGAAGGATTGAATGGACAACAAAAGATACAATTTTAAATTTTTAAGTCAGGTGATAATTTATTTATTCATATTAATTATGACTACATGTCATGTATATCTCCTGTTGGCTTTATTATTTTTATGTATGTCTACTCAGAAACGTCATATACTCATGCATTTAATAATTTAGCTTGTTGATTTTGTTCTTCCATTACAATTAATTTTGTAAGGGGAATAATTAATTGATGCTAAATGTTCAAATAAAAAATTCTAATTATCGATTAGATCTTTTCTTTTATATTAATTTTAGATTTTGATAATACCTTTAATACTTTTTCCTACATGTACAAAAAAATGGGAAAATAGCAATTGTATTCTGTTAGATACAATGTATATGTATGTAGAGATCAAATGGTACAGGTATACGTGTATATGAATAATGACTTAGGAGTTTTAGCTTAATTGTTGACCTCCAATATGGTGACCGACGGGAAATAACTTTTGCTAAAATAACGTAAATGGAAAATTAGATGTCTAATTCGCTAAAAAATATATAAAATGGACATGTAAAAACACTCCAAAAATTAATTTAGTTCTATTATAAAAAGCAACATTATATGACATAAAATCATATACTCTAAATAGATCTTTATTTTTAATTTAGAGAAAATACTTGATCGACATCCAGCGCATGACTGATTGCCGCTAGTGGTCAGCTAAGGCTATCATGCTATTACATAACCCAAAATTACTGGGTCGGAAAATCTAGGTTAATACAATGACCGCGTTAGTCCGATTGATTATAAATCTGCGTTTCTTGTCACATGTTTGTGGAGAAATTACGCCTATGGTATATTGAATTTAAGTATTTTATGTCAAAATTACAATGAATGAATGAATGAAGCGAACTGTACATGTTCGTGTATACCATTACATGTATTTACTTTTTTTCTCTTTTCAACATCAATCAATTTAAAAAATTTGAATCAAAATACATCAAACATTTTGCATTGGACTTGTTGGAAAACCTTATTTTTAAACAATTATATGACCGTTTTTTGATTTTTTAAAAATTATTATTTTCATAATGTATCATGTTATTTAATTGGTTCAGGTTATAAGGACGATCTCCCTCTTTGTTGAGAAAAAGAGAACAGACAACACAACCTTATTTTCCTTGTCCTGTGTTGATGGTCAATAAACTGTATACAAACAAGATTAGTTTATTATGGAGGGGTGATAGGATTCATTACTTGCAATAAACCAAAGCACTGGACATCAAAACACCCCTTACTGGTCAGATAAATGGTTCATTCCATCGAAGGCACAGCTGAAGTTGTAAAATAACCTTGAAAACAAAGAGGGAGAATTTTACAAAAATCGCTCGTAAAAGGAATTATATTAAGAAGAATCATGCTGGAATTAATTCAGAGTGTAGAAGTTTCAGTAGGACTTGTTATTGCTATTGTTCTTTTGATGGTTTACTTGACACGAAATAACAAGAATCTTCCCCCTGGCCCGCCAACATGGCCAGTTCTTGGATCCGCCATAAATTTACAGAAGATTCCAAACATGAGAGATGCTGTTAGAGAAATGCGCGCAAAGTATGGTGATGTTTTCAGGATAACACGATTTGGACGTCACGTAATTTATATCAACGGCCTTGAAAACTTGAGAGAGATCTTCATCAAAAAGGCAGACGCTTTCTCGGACCGTGCGTCGAATTACCATTCTCAATACATCCTGAAAGAACATGGTGGAGTTTCTTAATTACTGTTAATTTAAATTAGTCTAAGCATTAACTCATGTTTTTATTTTTACGTTTACTAAAATATTTTTTCATATCGCAGTCATTGTTTTTATAATTAGGTGACCTTTGAGCTTATTTTAGATTTCATTTATCTCTTTTAGGCGTACTGGCTAGTTCAGGAGAAAAATGGAAAGAGCACAGAACATTTGCTTTGACAACACTTCGAAGTTTTGGCTTTGGAAAACGCAGCCTAGAGACCCAGATCATGGAAGAAGTCACTTGTTTCACTGACCAAATCGCCGCTCTGAAAGGCAAACATTTCGACCCAAACGACTACATCCACGTGAGTGTCTCCAACATCATGTGCTCCATTGCGTTTGGTAAACGTTACGAACACTCTGACGTCAACTTTCAACATCTGTTGACGCTTGTCACTCAACTCGCCGCCTTGCCGCGTAATCCCATCCTAGACTTTTTTCCAGCGCTGGGACGTTTGCCGGGGGATCTTTTTGGCGCCAGACAACTTGAAAGGTTGGAGGACTCGATCCGAGTCTTTGTGAAGGGCATTCTGGAAGACCACAAAGAGACCTTCGACGGGATAAATATCAGGGATTACATTGACGCTTTTCTTCTAGAGCAAGCTAAGCAACAGGAAAATGAGGATACAACATTCACCGGTAATTGTCAATGCAAATTTTATTGCCTGATGATTCATCTAGAGACAAACATTGAACACATTGCAAACGCTCTAGATAATTTAGTCTTTGATAAAATGTTAAGTGATGCATGCTATGAATTGTTTTTGTTTGTCACAGATTTATCCTGACCTTTCCATGTATATTTTACAGAGGAACAGTTGATTTGTACTCTCCGCGATTTCTTTATTGCTGGATCGGAAACAACAACTACCACATCAAAATGGGCGATTACATTTCTCGTCAACTTTCCGGAGATTCAAGCTAAAATGAGGAAAGAAATTGATGACGTCATTGGTGACCGTCCAGTCAGCCTCACGGACCGCGATAACCTGCCCTATTGTGACGCAGTCATTACAGAAACATTACGATTGGGAGACATTGTTCCCCTATCCCTACCCCACTCCACTTCATTTGACGTTACATGGAACGGTTTTACCATCCCAAAAGGTGCCACCGTGTGGCCATGTCTGGACTCTGTCCTTAATGATAGTGAGCTGTTTCCCGATCCCGAAAAGTTCAAACCAGAAAGATTTCTAGACTCAGAGGGAAAGCGACAGGGACACGATAAAGCAGTCATTCCCTTCTCATTAGGTACGTATTTTAATTAAATTAGTTATAGAAAGTGGAACTAACTAAAGGGTATTCTTTTATAATGATAGAAAGTTCAGTCATGTGAAATAATGTTGAATTAAATAATTTGAATAGAAAAAAACGGAGGCTTAGGGTATACGTAGGTTTATATATCCTATGTATGGTAAATTTTTGAGGCAATATAAATGCATGTGTGATTTGATATCTGGCCGTTTTACAGGTCGTCGTGTGTGTCTCGGAGAATCTCTGGCCAGAATGGAACTATTCCTGTTCCTTGTGACCATTGTACAGAGGTTTGAGCTGAAGGTCTCCCCCGATCACCCCGCCCCGTCCCTTACCGGATTCTTCGGAACTGTCCATGGGCCCTACCCATACAACATCTGCGCCATTGAACGCTCCTAAAAGTACAGCTACATTACATATATCTTTGCAGCGTTCTACTGTGACGTAAATGGTCATTTAAAGACAATTTCTGCATGATCTGGAATATAAGTACAATTTGAATCTCTTATTAAGTAGAATAATTATATGCATTTGAAGGATAAAAACTAAGTGCAGATCTATATGAACAATGAGAATGAATATTACGATCTGTCTTCCAAACAAAATGATGGACACATTGCACAATCTTGTACTTGATATAAACATTTTAAAACCCGTTGTATTTTTGAAACTCGGTGATCATTTAGAGTTGGAATACCTGTGTGAAGATGATATACCTCAAAACAGAATACCGGTATCTATAACAGGGACGTAGTTTAAGTTTTGAATTTAATTTTTAATTTAAGTTTAAGTTGAATTTAAGTTTCAATTTTTGAAAATTACCCCAATTCAAGAATTTTTTTCAAGTGGAGGGTGCCAACTTCTATAGCAGTATACCAAAGAACGAGTGCACTTATGGGCCCCGGTAAAATGTGAAAAAATAAACAATCAAATTAAGCAAAATTTTTCATCTCAAATAATTAATTGGTATCTAAACCATGCGATTCAACAAATATAACCGCTGAAATCCACGAATATACAAAGAACAAAACTATACAATGTAGTAGGGGTCAGCCGACATTTGTGATTTTCTATAGTAAATTGAGAACGGTCATGCATTTCAAAGCTTTTGTTAACTATGAGCCTAACGTTGTGCAAACTTGTGCGAATGACAAAAGTCGCATAATACATTTATAAAACTTGTGTGAAAGTATGAAATTTGCACACGATTAGGCTGGTACTTAAAATATTAAAAATGTATAAAAAATACAATGTGTTTCCTATAGCTAGTGAGAGCTATTTACCTGTATGACCCATGTTGAACTCATGTGTGGAATAAATTATTTAAAATACTGATAATCACGTGAGTTATACCCAGGTAAACATTCCTCAAATGTGCTCACTGTAAAACATAGGTAGCTTCTGTATCAGTAAGTCAAAGTTGTGCCGCTTAGAGATATTTGTATATATTTGTTTTTAAGAACACCGGAGGGTAAAGAGAGTTTAGTGTCGTTCATGAAAGTGTCAAACATTTTTAACCTTCGTGCAAGACAATGAAACAGGTATTGAAAGCCAACTAAACACTCCTTTTTAATTTCAAATTCAATGAAACTGTTATTGTAATTTTTCAAATGCAAGAGTATCAATTTCTTAGTTTAATCATTATAGTTACAGGCAACTACACAACTTCATTCAATATTTTTAAAAACAGGTGTGGTGCAAGAAGTTACATTCCGCAAACGCGCCCGACTTACGGACTATGATCCACCATCAGATTGTTCAATATTGATTTAAATATCTATACCCCTTGATTTACATAAACGAAACTAAAAAAAGATTCGGTACGACTTTTCCGGATTTAGGGTATCCATAAGGATTCAAAAATATTCAATTGTTTCAAATCCATGCTGATTTAAGTGAGACTTAATATGTTTTTTAATCAGAATTATCCACTAGTATCAAACTATTACCAATAGAGAACGATCAAGTAATATATTCTAAAGTAAAATGGCACATAAAAAGGGCCCATTAAGTATTGCTTAAGTGCACTTGTCCTTTTGTTCATACTAAGGATACTGCATCACCCTTATTTGATTGCCAAAAAGAGGAACCGGGGATAGGGCAACCTCTCTTTCATTGACCATTTTCATCAATAAAAAATATGTTTGGGGAAAAAGAGACAGCCCACCTTTTTCTGGATGCTACGTACCTGTATGCATGATACATGTGTATTTGTATATATAAATTGTGTAGATGATATAGGGCATGTAACGATTTGTATTTACATTTTTATTGTGAAATTTTTCAATAAAAATTGTATTAAATTTCTCTTTAAATACTTGAGCGATGATATCAGTGCTAAAGGACATATTTACAAATGAAGTATTCTTTGAGTGCCAAAACCCAGTTTATATAATTATCCAGATACACCTACCATCCCTGCAAAATGTCTCTTGTCATCTTCTTGGATGGTCCAAGGCTGAATCTGTCTTCTTCAAGAACTGTATGATCTCTTTTAACCAAAAAGAAAGCTCTATTGTATCATACTGGAAGTAGAATTCTGTTGGCGATAGTAAAAATTATAAAGGGAAGAGAAAAGAAAGGTGGTCGATCTCATAAGAACTACAAACAATGAGAATTTGTTAACAGGCATAAATATGACGTCTGGAAATTCAAAAAAGTTGGATCGTGTGCGTAGGAGGAGTAAGCATCCTCTCATTGACCGGTCACATCCGCTTATTGACCGGTCACATCCTCTTATTGACCGGTCACATCCGCTGTGAGCTATATGTATTTTAAAAATTAAGTAGACGGAACATTCCATTGTCAAATTAAGTACAAAACAAAGGCCTTACAATCGGTATTGAACAATTTAGCAAAAAAAAAAATCGCCCCGGACAGTGATAGGTTATATTTACTGATTAAAAAAAAGCCCTAATACCAACAATAGAATTGACTTGAAAATAGATGGTTTAAATTCCCTGAGTATCAATTATATCATATTATGTGTGAGTAGCATGAAGTAAAAGTTCGATGTTTTACATCTTTTGATTATTGTTTTTGTTAACTTTCTTCATTACTTTGTATATTTGCAAGGATAAAAGTATTCAAGGAGCCTGAAGATAAATCATATTTCGATAAATTCTCACGCTGAAAAAATCTCAAAGAAATCAATGAAAGATTGAATAGAAATTGAAACATTTTCAAACTGAGGAAAATTAAGCCATGAAGAGTTAAGGCGTTGGCAGTGAGGCCTGCAATAAACTTTAAAGGTCCACGATCCCATTCAGAAGCCAGTGAAATCCCTCTTCTAAGTCATCAATCGCATCGGCAAAGGATTGTTACTGAAGATATAACAATGTAAAGATGAATATAACAGTGATCAGACTCAGAATCCACCAAACAAAACAGTTAAATTGTGGACGAGGAAGGCCAACATAAATTTTAAACATCCATTTATTTGTTTAATGCTTTACATAAAATGACACACTTACAGTAAAAAGAGGTCCTTTGGCCACATCGCTCACCTGAGCACATACCCAAGGATACTCTGTGTCAAGTTTGGTAGAAATTGGCTCAGAAGTTTTAGAGAACAAGATTAAAATGTGAAATGCATGTGTTTACAACAACAATTACGACGAAAGAAAACGGGAAAAATTTTGATCAGAATATCTCAATTGAGCCTTTGGCTAAGGCGAGCTAAAAATGACATTTTAGAACCGTGTGCTTAAAAAAGGATATCTATCAATGAATTCTTTGGTTTTGTATATACAATACAAGAATATCACCACAATGTACAGATCTGATAACGCATTCCAAATGACAGTGTACTTACTAACAGAGTTTTTTTTTTAAAACTATTTATGTTCTTGCAGGATCTTGACATGCTATTTTAGGGGGATTTAAACTTATTTTTAGGATTGTCGTGATTAAACTTTTATTTGTTACACAAAATATCATACATAAAATGAATTCTCTTCCCATAATTCACATTAATAGCAATTACAAAATAGACAGAGATTGTAAATTTAATTATTGTTCAATATTCCAATCGCCTTATAAGAATTATTTATACTCTGAGACTCTACAAGGAATGGGAACAATTTTCTGAAGCTATAAAAGTAATTATAAAGATTAGAGAAAAATGTCATCGAGCTTTAAAGTTACAGAATTGAGATATATCTGACACCACACACAAAAAGAACAGACAATGTTCTTTAAAGAAATGAGCCGCTATGTGTTTATTTAGAGGGCCTTTGCAGAGTTATGGCTTATTATCTGTTTAATAGCGTCCGACCAACGGGGCATGTATAGCCGTGTGGGATTTAATTAAAACAAAGGCTACTGAAATCTTTTCTGTCCAAGTGACACCTGAATATACATGGGACATATTCAGAGCTAAAAAAGGAATCGCATGAAGAGGGCGACAACGGGAAGGGGGAGTTATTTCCCAATCATTAACAAGTCTAGAAAAAAAAGTATCGATATTAATTCTCTAGAAAAAAAATTCCTCGAAGAAATCAGCGACATAAAAAAGACTGCTTTTAAAAATGGATAGCTCCATTTTATGAGTGACCTAATTAAGGAAGTGGGACATAAATCAAGCCCGCTGCAAACCTCTCGGAATTTTTTTTTTATTTTTGTCTTTTAATAAATCTTCCCATACTTGTCAATAACGACCTGAAAACAGGAAATTGAACGTAAAAGCGCTTCTTCATTAGCGGAGTCAAACAATTACTTTGGTCAGAGTGCCATGTAGGACCTGGACGATTAATATCCAATGATTGGGAGAAGTGGACTTTCTAGGATACTTGTCTGGTACTTCGTGGTTGAAGGTGGGTCGTTGTTTTTGTTTGTTAATTTAAAGGTTTCATTTTAGAATACTCTGAAAGAAATTACAGGCCTAAAAGACTCTACTGCTCTGTTTATGCACTGTGATATTTTAATTGTATATTAATTTTGTAGTAGATTAATAAAATAAATCTTTATGCTGTACACGAATAATAAATTGGAGGCAAAAAAACTTATTTTTCTTCACTAATATGTACCCTTAGATTAAAAAACATGCATAGTGTAAACATATACTTAAAAACCAAACAATAATGCTTTTCGATAAAAATTATAAATTTCTCAGATGACAGTAAAAAATTATAGATCTTTCTTTTTTTCAGAACAGCTCCTTACATATACACCCAATATCTATTGAGACTTCAATTTTATGTAATGCTAATAATAACATAAGAATAATTTTTCTTCTTGGTCGTACATTTTACAGGTTTAGTTGTAGTTTTTGGTCTGGAATGTTGGAAATGTATCCAGAAGGATTGTCACAAGGATCCTAACTACAATCAAAGAGCAGAAAAGATCACCTGTCAAACTGGCGAACACTGTTTAGTAAGTCTTAACTACTTTATTTATGCTAGATAACAAAAGAAAAGTCTTATTTTTGAATCCAACTTCCAATTTTCAAATATTTTAACATAAAGTGTCTTATTTTTAGATTTTGTGTCAAGGCTAAAATTCAACAGTTAAATAAAAGATTTTTTTCTCGATCTTTAACTGTGTTGGGTGTTTCAATTCGTGCAAATTTATTTTAATTGTGCAAAGAATTCCAATATTTCATCACATTTTGAATCGCCCCCAAAAGTTTATTATTTGAATAATTTGTTTTTAATTACGCAGAAAACAATATCTTTGTAAAGTTCTGTCGAAAAAATATCTCAATTTTAAATAGCCTTCTCGACTATACTTTGAACTCAACATTTAAATAAAATATTGGAATTTTGACATAAAGTTTAAATGTATCATGATCGAAAGGTTGAGTGTTTAAAATTTGGCAATTTTATAAGCATTAAATACTCTGGCATTTAGAAAAAAAAAATGATTCTCAGATTTCTTTTATTCCTACCGAAATCAGCAACTATGGACCAATACATATCACAGTAACTTTCCCATTTTTAAAATCCCACGATATAGACTTCCTGTCGCTTTTATCATAGGCATATTTCTTTTATAATGGATAAAATAATCACCACATTTTGACTAAACATAACTTAAGCATTGTTCCAATATCTTAAAGTATTGTAAAAATATCAGGCCGAGCAAAATCGATCATGTTGCCTCATTTTGTTCAGCGCAGAAATTCATGAGAAGTCTCGACACAGGAAAGCTATATGTGAGTTTTACAATGTGTAATTACAACCACTTAGCTAAATGAACGGAAGTCCCAAAATATTGTTATTATTACAGGCATGTGATTTCATACGGGACCCTTTGTTAGAAATCTAGGTCACTATTGTTTTCATCTAACAGAAATACAAAAGAAAATGTTTAAATTTTTTAAATATGTAAAAAAAAAATTTGTTTTTATTGTTACAGAAAGTTCGCTATCAGATGTTTCATAACGATTCTCACACGCATTATGATTCGGTGATTCGAACGTGCTCGCCATACAAGTGCCCGTATGTAACAGAAGACGACTATGAACAATGCCTTGGCAACATGCGCAAATATATGTTTCAGGGATGTTCTCTGCGCAGTTGCTGCAATGATCGTGATCTGTGTAATGTTGGATCCGTCCCTTCATCTGTATGTTTTTTGACAATGATTTTGCTACTGTTCATGCAATGGTTGTAAATGGAATATTATCCCTTGTTGTGCATGAATGTGCTGACATTTCGTTTTTGTATGAAGTGTGAAATTTATATGTTTTATTGCTGGATTTTACAAGTAGTTGATGACAGAGTGTCAACGAGAGATATGAATAAAACAACAAGTCAATGTGCATGTACTAACTAATAATTAAACGCCCGGTATAAAGCGACAACTTCCCGTCTTGATACCTGTGTAATTATTTTGCAAAATGACTTAAAACATATATGTTACTATGTGTCCTTGTCGATTTCTATTTTGGTGAATTCAATAAATTATTTCTTTACTTTTGAGGAACATACCCATAGTATCACTTTATTATATGGATCACATCACCAACAAAGCAAACATTTCAGTTTTTGTTCTTTCCTCGTATATTTCAACCCCGTTTAAATATTTCAGGCACTTTCCTTCCGTATAATAACATTCATTTACTTAATTGTAAAATATCTATGCTGCTTGCTTCATAAATCAATTTTACCCGTTTACATCAATGCACTGTTTTCATTTAATTTACATTAATACATGTACAGTAAAAGTGTCTTATCTGATAACTGTACAGACCGTTTCACTGTAAAATCCGAATCTTATTTTCCTACGTACATTATATCCTATAGTGCAAGTGCGATGACAGGTTTACAGTGTCTGAGAAAATAAACAAGGGGCACGAAATAGGGGCACGGAATCCACAACACCAGCAGACTCACCAGAAGAGGTTTTCCTTTTCAGAAATGAGCCAAGTATTGAAGTCGGTAGATTAAAACATTGGACGGGTGAAGATTTTATTCCACAGTATAACGAGTGGTTCAAATTTGACTATCAAGATTTAAGAGAAATATGTTTTCTAGTTGTCCATGAGGTCTATCAAAGATGTCGATCCTGGCGGAGGATTTCCAGTGAGAAGGAATGCAATGTTGAATAGACAGTATTGAAAAAAAAAATCAAACAAACACAAACAATCTATGTTTTCTTTAATGATTACAATAGAAACACATGAAAATGGATTTATTTCCCATTTCTTTATAAGAAGTATTTATTAGCTTCTATACATTTTATCAAATGAATAGCAGAAAACAAAACAATAATTCGTTATCAAATTTTAAAATGATACACATATGTGCAATACAATCATTTCTTTATTCGTAATGCCCCAAGAGATCTGTATAAATTGTGTTACAGAAATCAGTGTCCTCTGATTAAGGAGAATCGATACACAAGCACAGGAAACTTTTCTTCAAAACTGATCCAATAGATTCCGACATATTTGTCCAAAATAAAGAACTCTAAACTGAAAGGATATGTCCGAGTAGCAAGCTCATTGTAACACGTGTATATAGTTGTATTAATAATTAAAAAAAACCCTCTCTTAAAAAAGTTACAGACATGGGAGAAAAAAAGAGATTTGTTTAGAATTTTACCTATTACTTTATAATAGACATTGGTAGAATTTCATGACTTGCATATTGCAAGGTTTCAGAGAATGTACATTAAAAAAACCTAAACATGATAAAATCTATACATTTGAGGTGGTTTGTTCACCATGCTAAGTTGAATTTTCAAACTAACATTTAAATTAAATATTCAAGGATTGTACAAATCAGAACTGTATTAAAAAAAATATCAAATATCTGATCTTTAAAAAAAAATGAGAGAACATTTGCAAAAAAAAAAGAAAAAAAAACAATAGACCAGTGTTGTCAAAATGTGGAAAGTGATTAAAACAAAGCCATCAATTCGAACACAACAGGTGAACATCGACAATAAAAGAGCTCGGGTCAAGAGTTTTCTCACACACGCTTTAGCAGAATGGATTTATCAATGAGTATCAAGATTGTTCGTATAAGTCAGAGTCATTAAACTAAAGCTGATTTTCAAATCATAATCAAAAAATTTAACAAAACAACAATTCAAGTGTGTCCATGTCCCTTTTAGATGCATAGAGTACTAGTTTACATCGCAACGCTTCTCTCAAATTTGATCCATACAGTATTCATTCAACCTTCACTTTCTTATGTCATTAGTGGTCACTTTTATAAGTTCTTGATCGAAAAGTTTTGCTACAAAGGACTAAAGGACCAAGTTTGACAACTTTTTTTTTTTGGCTGTATCAATGAACAAAATAAAATGTTATCTAAAGACATTTCACAGAATATAGAATCTACAGTGGATTAACTATATACATGAACAAATGCAAGGTTGCTTTTGTTATAACCGAAAATATCTTTTGATGCAGACATAATTAAAAAAAAACTATTTTTTCAAATTATACTTAATGCAGATATAACTAAAAGTATTTTATTCACATTTCTTCCCACGCAATATAACTATACGTATCAAACTTCAGTAACAACTTTTTGTTTGTAAAAAATACTGTAATGCTCGAAGTAATCTTTTTGATTATCTTTTTCGACTTGATTTAAACATCATAGATGTACACCTACTGCTATGGGGCAACGAAAATCTCTCAATCGAAGTAAACATTGGCATTTTTGCCGCTGTTCATAAATTTATAAATGAATCCTGTAGATTTAGCTAGATATATTATTGAATCTTATTTGTACACGTTTTTGCTACTATTTTGCATGACAATTATTATGTGTTTTTTTTAAGGAGAAGAACTAGTAAGCTGTTAGAACTTGTTTCTTATCCTTTTGCTTGTCAATAAAATATGTTCAAATCAAAACAACAACTTTTTTCACGGAAGCTAGAAATCTCAAATAGTAAACTGATTTTAAGACAAGTTTGAAGGTAAGGTCTGATGAAGATTCATGATACATACTTTAGTTATCAAATTTTATTTGTGTTTCCAGAAAAAAACCTTCAAAAAGATATGTTCCAAGTTGAATTTCATTTCAATGGCCAAAAGTAATTTCCTACATATACGCACACGTATTTACATACAGCTACGATTAAACAGTTATTCGAAGCCCTCAATTAGTTTGGCAATCTCCTTTTGCTCTTCTGACAATTTCGGTTCCTTTGCTACAAGTGGCTGACTTTTTTTCACGTCAGCACTAGAAGGTCTCTTGTTCCGCAGGTTAAACCCTTTCTTATGTTTCACGGTAAAGTGATCGCGCAACTGCATTAAGGATCCTAACGACTTTCCACATTCTTTACAAACGAATTGCTTCTTATCCTCCTCGTCACTTTCATTGCCATTCTTCGAATCTTTGTTTTCATCAGGCGGCTTTTCCACAACCCATGTTGCGTTCTCTACTGGTTTTTCGGGCGATGACTTTTCAGTGTCCTCTTCCATGGGGATGTCAAATATTGGGAGGTCCTTGGGGGCCGTCTTGGCCGATTCAGTATTAGCCTTTTCATCTTCCTCCTTCTCCCAGATTTCGTCCTTGACAATCATCTTCACGCTGATCCGTCTTTCCCATTCGGTTTCTTCCTCTTGATCATCCCCATCCTCATCCTCGTGAATAGACCCGTCTTTAAATGATCTTGACGAGTTCTCATTTAGTGTTTCGGGGACTAAGCGTTTTCTATCAACATCTAAGTCTGATCTTTCGTCATAATCTTTATCAACACGATCCTCAAGATGTCTGCTATTTCTACGATCATCATCGCCGTATTTTGACCCCTTGCTACTGCTGTATCCTCTATCCCGAGATCGGGATCGGGATCGCGATTCACTTCGACTAGTTTTCCTGCTCCAATACCGTCGAGAGGAATAATCATCACGAGATCTACTTCTCTTGTGACGAGATGACCGATGATCTCTGGAGCTGTGTGATGTTGAACGTGTTCGATGATAACTACTTGACTTTTCACTTCCCCTTGAGTAACTATCATCTTCGATCGAATCTCGCCTTCCACGTGGAGATCGCGTGGAAGAATATTCGCGACTCTGGCGGCTGTCTTCCTCTTCTGCAGGAGCAGTTTCCATGGTTTCATGACTTCGATTTGGTGATGACGAGTGTTTAAAATTTTCATCTCCAGGAGGAAATATATCCTCTTCCTCATCCCTTGTTGGAGTGGCACAGCTACTTGATGGAATGCTCGAATCCTGAGACAAGGATCTTTTACTTTCCTTGATTTTTTCCTTTGAAGGTTCTTGACTTCTGGGAGAATTGCTTCGACGTGTCTTTTCTTCTGTTTTATCTTGCTCGTCTTTTGCTGAGCTCCTCCGAGACTTCGATGAGCTTCTTCTCGACCTCGACCTACTTCTGCGAGATCGTCGTCTCGATGATCGACGATCTGGGGATCTTGAAGAAGATCGATGACGTCGTCGATGTTTCTTGTGATCGTTTCTAACGTGCTTTTCCAAGTGATAACTGTCCTTGAATACATCTCCGCAGTAGTCACATTTACGCATCTCAAGCTTGTGCATTTCACAATGTTCCTTGAAAATAAGTTCATCAACCTGCTTCTCACATTTGTAGCACGTAATTTTCTTAGAGTGCTTTATTAAGCGATGAGTTTGAAGCTTTTCGCCAGATTCAAAAGCCCTCTGACAAATGTCACACTGATATTTAGGTGGAGCATGAACATCATCAGCGTGCCGGTCAAGATCTCGTTGATGCCAGAAAGGTTCACCGCACAACGGGCATGGATACAGGGCGGTGTGGATAAGATGAACGTACTTTATGTGACGCATGGCGTCCTCGTCTGTCTGCGATATAATGTAACAACTCTTGCATCTCCAGCCGTGTTGCACAGGAAAAGCTGGTGAGGGTGGTAGAACTGTGCATGTCTTCGGTACATTGATGCTTCCCATGAAGCCATGAGAAGGTGCATATGCCATATGCATTTTCCACTCCTGTTTATTTCGGAACATTTCGTGACATGGTGGGCACCTGTAAGGATCAAGATGAAACTCCCTACCATGTTTAGTGTCTAGAATATGTTCTGTCCACTTGGTTAGATTATCAAATGTTTTGTCACAGATGAGGCAGCGATGACTGTAATTCCATTCCATCAAGTCATCGAAATACAGATCAATATTATCAACATTCAGTTTTGGATTTTCGTAAGGGTTCCTACTTATTGGTTGAGCTGGTTGACTTACAGGAGGCTTTTGAGGATGATCTCGCCGAGAGGGTGATCGGTTTGGCGGAGAACGATTTTTATAAGAAGAAACATTATCATCCTTTCTGTTTTGATAAGAGTAAGGGGATGAAATGGAATCCATCTTTCTGTTGTCCCTCGATTCACGATTATCATAGGGAGAATGAGTATCTTCCTCTCTGTTTTCCCTGGATCTTTGATAAGGAGAATCATCTCTAGATCTTCCAGGACTTTTCATCTTGACTAGATTTACCTCAACATGTCTATCTGGACTTGGTTCTTCGTGGCGAATAGGAGAAAGGCTTTCATCAGACCAGTTAGAGAATTCCTTCTTCTCTACTGTGACAGAGCGTGCCCATGTGTCATTATCATCATCTACCTGTTTATACAAGTCATCATATTTTCTATCATCCACATCAGCTTTCTCAGGATACAGATCGGCCACATTATATCTATTTTGTGTCTGAACGTTATCCGATGCTTTATATTGCAATGAGGATGAGTCCGTCATAAAACTTTTATCGGTTTCGTAAATATATTTATTGTGGTCCCTTCCTTCGTCTTGTGATTCGGTAACAGATTCACCTAGAAAAGCTTTGCCTTCTTCTAGAACTTTCCTAGATTGCATTAAAACGTCATCAAACAAGAAATCATCGTTAAATTCATCTTCTTTTTCATTGCCTTTATTATTGTCAACAAGATTGCCACTCAGAATATCATCAAAAAGATCGTCATTTTTCTCTTCAGATTTTGAATTACGTTCCAGAATCATACTATCGGGAAGAGGTTCATCGTCTTTATATTTCCACCAAAAGCCCTTTTCAGTTGACTCTTCTTCGTTAGGGGTTTCTTCCTCTGGATTTGCAAATATATCAATTTTAGATTTGGGCGTTTTTCTATTATAATTATCACCATCGTCGTCGGATGAATCGCTGGCATTTGTCCAGTTCGAAGTGTCCCATTTGTTTTCGGATTTTAACTTCTTCCAACCAGATTCCGCACTCTGAAATTTCTCTGGCCTTGATATCTCTGCAGCTTTCTCTGATTTGTATTGTTTCCATCTTGCCCCAGCACTTTCGTATGAATTGGAACGTGATGCATTTTCATATTCCCTCCCGATGTCCTTAACTTTTCGACCATAAACAGGTGCGTAATGAAAATCTTCCATTTCATGCTTGGCTGCTTGTCGTGGATCTCGATTTTCAACATTATTCGATTGATGTCTAGGGTCCCTCGTTTCATTATTTCTGGACTGTAAGCGAGGATCCCTGTTTCTATTTTCCAGCCTGGGATCTCGAGGGTGTGCAGAAGTCTTCCCTATTTTGTTTTTGTACACTGGATTATACTGAACATTCTCCTGTTTTGGACGGGACTTCTTGATGTAGTGAAGCGGATCATTGTCGTCGTCCGAATCAGGATAGCTGACAATAGAAGAACTCTTCCAAGACATGTTTCTTCCCACGGTCCAGTTATTTATGAAAACTTTCACATCATCCTACAAAACCAAGAAAAACAGAATTTAGTCAAATAGAATGAAAATTAAGCATTCATATTGTTTTCTTTTATTGTCACTAAGATGTAAATGATATAGGCTTTCGCTTCACTTTCATTGTATCAAACTTTTTTTCGTTCTGTTTACACTTTCAACTTTTTTTATACAGCTCTTGTCCATCATTAAGGTAATTCTATGCAATTATTATTAAATGCACAGCATCACTCTTAAAGCCGAACTCTAGTGGACCCCCTTTCAACGCAAACAAATGCATATTGGAAATCTTGACATATATTCCATTACAGTACACTTGTACTTATTCTTAAATGTTATATGATCTAAATAATCTTAAAACTCTAAAAATAACATAAGCCTGGGGTTGTAGTATATTCGTAAATTAATATGATTTTATTTTCATTTCAAAAGACCTTGCAAATTGGGAAAAAAAATCCTAATAGTCTGTTCTTTTTATACAAAAAATTCTGAAGTATAATCATCATTTCACCACTAAAGATTCTTCAGTGGTGAATTGATGAATAGTCTTCAAGATGGAGAGGCATGATAAGAAGTGGTTAATTTCGAACTTGAACTTCATTTTTAATATTTTAATGCACAAACCCCGTTATAAAAAGGTCATCCCTGGAGCCATGCATAAAAAGTTGTCTGAAATTGTTCTCAGAAGTTTCTGCTATATGTAACTACCTCATTAGAGTAGTGCGTATACCGGTAACCCTGAGTGATGAAAAAATTATTTCTTCTTATAATTTAAGTATTTTCTTCACTAAATATCCAGAAATTTTAATTAAGCAACGTACATGTATAATTTATATTGTTACTCTTGTTGTTTTTATAACGAATTCTGGACTGGACATTATTTGTTTTCAACTCAATCCTGTCAGAATGATTTTATACACCTTATATAAGGAACCTAATAGAAATCCCGGCCTGAAAAAATCCATAACTCGGTGAACCAACTTTGATTAATTCTTAGGGAACCCGCTACCTTATCTGTCTCTTAGCTTATAAAGACAAAAGATGCATCAAAGATTAACTATTCAAAGACGTTATTTCGAGCAAACACGAGCAGGACTGATCAGATCATTTGTTTATTCTAAGACGATGCAATCCAACCTAGCAAGGCTAAACTCCGCGCCATTAATTTTCCTACAGATAGGCATTCAGAGTTTAGCAAAAAATGTCTTAATTAGATAGAACAAAGCTAAGACATTGATAAGGGACCGTCTGATAATACAAACATAAAGAAGGATAAGTCCTTATGATTAGGGTTTTCCATACTGTTTACCGCAAAAGGAAACTCTTAATTAACTAATATTGATATGGATCGCATGCGCGCTGACTGAAATCTCGCTCTAAGACATGTATATATTTCTTTAGTAATTACATTTTTTTCAGGGACTGCTGATCTTAACAATCTCTTATTATTTATTAACTGATCCGTACATTAAGCATTTACTAGTACACCAAGACTTTCAGTAAATTTTCAAAAATAAGAAATTAGACGTGAAAAAATCTATGTATGTAAAGCATGGATATAATGAATACATTCATACGAAAAATCAATACATGAAGTGCTCTCATTTTCTAATATACTCTATTTTCTTAAAGCTTTGCATTTGATACTGATGACGACTGCACTGCAATCGAGTCATTTTTGTACAGTAAGTATGTACTGATGCTTGTTAACGTCATATATGGGTTTCGGCTTTAACATCAATGTACCATCTGAAGAAACAAACCCCCCTTTTGATTGATCTGTATTTAGCATAACTATAAATTGGCAAGTTTATAAAAAGTAATCAACTGTCGTATGACTGAGCAATACTAGTAGTTGGGTACTCGAACACCCGTTGCTATTCCTTATTTTTACCATATTTTATATGGTATTGCAATAACACCAGAATCTAAGACCCAGGATCATCAATTTCACAAGTCTGGAAGAAGCACTCTTGTTCAATGAAACCATGCAAAAACTTTGTCTGATAAATATATGAGAACAAAGAATTCCACAATTTTAGAAGAGGCACCTTTGTTGATACATGATTTATGCACTTATTTTCAAGAATAAAGGTGTAAAGCATTTTCACTATACATCTTGAAGACCAATATAACAACAGAAACCCAATTTCTTGGGCAAAAACTAAATTGAACAAAATTTTTTACAAAAAAGCTTTGTTAAAATTTATTTCAATTTCAATTTATAATTGTTTTCTCTGTGATATCTCATTGAAAGTTAGTTGAGGGAAAAATTAACCGATTTAAACCGATATTTTTTGCGGAATTTATGCATTTTAACTTGTAGACCCCGTATACCTATGTGTAAAATCAGAACCCCTAGGTTTAACTTAGGACGAAAAGCTTGATTTGAACAAAAATAACGTCTACACGTCACACTTTGTAAGAAAAACTTCCAGATATAAAATTCTATAAAGATTTCCACTTCTAATTGTTTTCTTTGTGATATCTCTTCGAAAGTTAGGTAAGTTGATTTGTTGATAATTCAACCGGAATATTAATTTCTCCGGGTGAAAGGTCAGGAATCTTATATGAATGCCAATATCGTGCGGTTTTGTTTGTCTGACGTCAGTAGGCGGGGACTATTGAAACTAACGTGAGGCCATAGACGCCGTTATTTTTTAATTTATTTTTACAATTAAATTTCAAATGTAATGTAAATATAAGGCAAGTTTTAAATCAATTATCTGAAAATTTGTAAGACATACAATATAACGATAGAGGAAACATTAAAAGTAACCATTTAAACTCCGACCAAAACTGCACAAAAAGGAACATTAAGCAGATTTCCAATGTTTCCAACTATTCTAGCCCTGGAATACCTGACTGAACAAAAAGACATTAAATCAATTTTAATGTAATCTTTTCTGTCTTGGTGACCTTTGAGAAACGAAAGTCCTTAAAATGACCAAACAACTTTTGCCTTTTGTTGATGATACTCCCTTTTTCAAGGGCGTGGGCCCTCACTTGAACACATCTAAATCTCAGTATTACGCAAACAAACTTGGTGCAGAGTCTGTAGGAAACTATTTTGCCGGTTCATAAATCTAATTAAACCATATTTCTATACCGAGAATGAATAAAGCACACAGACTGACAACAATAATAAACAAGCCAAAAGGGTGTGATCTTTCAACATGGGATGATTACCCCTTCTAGGCACCTGATCCCACCTCCGGAATTTTCAAAGGTCCGTTTTTTATGCCGTCTTCACATACTGTAGATGTACTTTTTTCCACGTGGTATTAATTTACGCTATGTACGCGGTCACAAACTGTCCGCGGAAACTTGTCCCGTTGTACTCAAAATACTTGTAAGGAATATAGTGAGAGTCTAAGAAATTCGCGTAATTTTCTATCCGCGGATTAAAAAGAAATAGAGATTCCGCGGAATTATGACCTCGTGGAAAATAGTACGTCTACAACATTTGAATGGTTTACAGAATTTTTTATAGATCGATCACTGTCATCTTAACTTCAACAAAGTTACTTGGGTTGGTCTTTTGAGTGGCAAGTTTTAAAGCAATCTAATGAAATTTGCAGAAGATGAAGCATTTTATAAGAATATCACGGAGAGAAATTTCCATTAAAAGTATAACCATTGGAAAATCACAATTCAGAGATCAGAATTATATATCAGATTAAAATCTACTTGTGTCTTCTTTTTTGAAATCCAAAACTGCACAAACAGGAACATTTTGAAAAGATTTTTACGGAGATTTCTTTCTTTTTTAACTACCAATGTATAACCATTGACTGAAATCAAAAACCTATCAAATCAATTTTGTATATCTTTACTAAAGTCAACTTGTATAAAAAGTTAAATTGAATCAGACCAAAAATGTAGGATGAATAGCATTCTGAAATTATTTATAACAAAAAAAAGACGTACAGGCTTCTGTGGGACACCTCAATATCATACAAACTCTTCTGGTCCCTGACCAATAGAGCTAATTATGTGAAAAATGACGTACACCATTCAAGTAAAAAAACTGAAAAAGTGCAATCACACCTCAGGTGAGTTAAAAGTAAACATATTAAATCATCAATTCAGTTATTTTTGGGAGTGTCTTTATCTCTACATCATGCGTCCAATTAACAACTTAAATCGTAAAGGAATCGATATTGTTTCAATTTATCCCAATATACCAGGGTATGTTAATGTTTAAACAATTATTAGCGTGAAGATTAAAGGGCCTTAGCTTGACTGTTCTTTTAAATGACCTTAACTGAAAAGGCATGTCGTTTTCTTCTTTTTTTCATTGAGCACTTTAAAAACATTAGAAATCTATACTACGGGTTTATTTTTGAATTTTACGTTGACTAGAAATAAACATGAAGGTTGCATGACATTGCTCTATAAACAATTTATTGACATGTTTTTAACGATCTCCTCTCTCTCCTTTTTATAAAACAGCTTTCATCAACAGTTTCGCTTACGCCAAAGAAAATGAACCAATGCACAAAAACAAAAGACAGAAAAGGATTGTCAACAAGAATCATTGAGAATTTCTAATTGTTGCTTCCACGGCACCTGATTCCACTTCTGATGTTTCCGAGCTCCATATTTGCTCTGCTCCAATTTTCTATTGTTTAATGAATTTATGGGCTTTCATTGTAAGAAGGACGCAATACTTGTCAAAAGAATGATAAACATTGAAATAGACTGTCAGTTTACACATTCTAGTTTGAATCAAGAGCTTTTAATGACTCTCAATTACAAATTTATAAATTTATATAATAAAAAAAGACAACTCGGACAATGACAGCTAAACAGAAGGTCAAGGTGATTCCTACATAGCCCAGTCCCTAAAACCTTTGTTGGAAGATCATAAAAAAGACATTTATTTCGCACAGTCAAATTTAAAAACACAGGTATAATGTAATTAAAATAACGATGTTCTCCTCGACGATTATCTGTAAGAAATGCATATTTTGTTTAACATTTTTTCCCGTCAGTCTGCAACCAAA